TATTTTTAGTAGAGATGAGATCTTGCTGTGTTGCCCAGGCTGGTCTTCAAGTCTTGAACTGAAGTGATCCTCCTGCCTTGGCCTCCCCAAATTTTGGGATTATAGATGTGAGCCACTGCGCCTGGCTCCTTATATCTTTTGACTCTGTTATTCCATTTCTGACAATCCTAAATATTAATAAATATGGAAAAAAGGGCCGGGCACAGTGGGTCACGCCTGTAACCCCAGCACTTTGGGAGGCCGAGGCAGGCGGATCACCAGAGGTCAGGAGTTCGAGACCAGCCTGGCCAATATGGTAAAACCCCATCTCTACTAAAAATACAAAATTAGCCAGGCATGGTGGTGCGTGCCTATAATCCCAGCTACCCGGGAGGCTGACGCAGGAGAATTGCTGGATCCTGAGAGGCTGTGGAGGCTGCAGTGAGCTGAGATTGTGCCAGTGCACTCCCTGGGGAACAGAGCGAGACCTCCGTCTCAAAACAAAATAAAATAAAAACAACTTTGCCAGTCTTTAACAAAGCTTTGTGTGTGTGTTTTTTTTTTTTTTTTGGAGACAGGGTCTTGCTCTGTCAGCCTGAACTGCAGTGGCACAATCATAGGTCACTGCAGCCTTGAACTCCTGGGCTCAAGCAATCCTCCTGCCTCAGCCTCCTGAGTAGCTCGTAATACAGGATGCGGTACTATAGGGGCATGACACTATGTCAGGCTAATTTGTGTTATTTTTAGTAGAGATGAGATCTTGCTGTGTTGCCCAGGCTGTACTATAGGGGCATGACACTATGTCAGGCTAATTTGTTTTATTTTTAGTAGAGATGAGATCTTGCTGTGTTGCCCAGGCTGGTCTTCAAGTCTTGAACTGAAGTGATCCTCCTGCCTTGGCCTCCCCAAATTTTGGGATTATAGATGTGAGCCACTGCGCCTGGCTCCTTATATCTTTTGACTCTGTTATTCCATTTCTGACAATCCTAAATATTAATAAATATGGAAAAAAGGGCCGGGCACAGTGGGTCACGCCTGTAACCCCAGCACTTTGGGAGGCCGAGGCAGGCGGATGAGGTCAGGAGATCGAGACCATCCTGGCTAACACAATGAAACCCTGTCTCTACTAAACATACAAAAAATTAGTCGGGCGTGGTGGCGGGCCCTGTAGTCCCAGCTACTCGGGAGGCTGAGGCAGGAGAATGGCATGAACCCAGGAGGCGGAGCTTGCAGTGAGCCGAGATCGTGCCACTGCACTCCAGCCTGGGCAATAGAGCGAGACTCTATCTAAAAAAATAAATAAATAAATAAATATGGAAAAAAGCTCTACATAAAAAATTGTATTACAAAACATTAGAAATGAATAAATTTTTATCTGACAGGAATTATTAAATATCTAATATACTTAGTCCAGTGTTCAGATATACAGTATGTAATAAATGTTGTTTATCAAGTTTGGTTTTCTAAGGTAGACAGAGACAAAGTTGACTGATACTAGGTTAGAACACCAGTTTTGGTTGAAATCAAAAGACCTTCTCTGTGTTAAACTCTTCTCTTGATTTGTTCAAAATGCTGTGTTACTATTGTAAAATATTTTTCTGATCTACAGGGCTTTCAGTGTTAGGGTGCTTCTAAAGCTGTCAGTTGTGGATAAGTAGAATCTAAAAATGGTCAGTTTAATATTGCCGTGTAGATTCAAAATCAAGCCTAAAGATGTAAAAATAGAGGTTTTTTTTTTTTTGGTATGTAGTATATGTATATGGCACAAAATACAAAAGATGCACAAAGACATACATTGGAAAGGTTAAATCCTTTTTCCATCCTTCCACCTCAGCCATCCAGTTACTTCTAGAAGTTATTACCGTGAAGTATTCCGTGCATATGCAAGTATATGAAATTACAAGTATTCATTCCTATACAAATGGAAGCATACTTTATATATTCTGTAATTTGCTTTTTTCACTTTTTTGAAACTCTTTCCATACTAGTATATAGTCCCATTTCATTCTTCTTCTTTTTTTTTTTTTTTTTAAAGATAGGGTCTCACTCTGTTGCCCAGCCTGGAGTGCAGTGGTGTGATCATAGCTCATTGCAGTCTCAAACTCCTGGGCTTAAGCAATCTTCCTGCTTCAGCCTTCCAAGTAGCTGAGGCCATAGGCATGTGTCACTGTGCCTGGCTACGTTTTAAAATTTATTTTTAGTTTTTTTTTTTTTTTTGTCTTGCTATGTTGTCCAGGCTGGTCTTGAACTCCTGACCTCAAGTGATCCTCCTGCCTCAACCTTCCAAAGTGCTAGGATTACAGGCATGAGCCACTGTGCCCAGCCACTTCATTCTTTTTAATGGGTGCATATGTATATCCTAGTTTAACAAGTTTCACATTGATGGACATTGTGGTTGTTTCTAGTTGTTTGCTACTACTGAGTGCTGCAGTAAATATTGGATATGCTGTTTTCTTTCTTTTTTTTTTTTTGAGACAGAGTCTTGCTCTTGTCACCTAGGCTGGAGTGCAACAGCAGGATTTCAGCTCACCACAACCTCTGCCTCCCAGGTTCAAGCGATTCTCCTGCCTCAGCCTCCCGAGTAGCTGGGATTACAGGCACCTGCCACCACGCCTGGCTATTTTTGTATTTTTAGTAGAGACGGGGTTTTGCCGTATTGGCCAGGCTGATCTCAAACTCCTGACCTTGTGATTCGCCTGCCTCAGCATCCCAAAGTGCTGGGATTACAGGCAGGAGCCACCGTGCCTGGCCTTCCTTCTTATTTCTTGAAGTCTTAGCTTCATAAGGATTGGCTGTTAATAAAGGTTTCCTCCTTGCTTCCTACTATGAATAATGCTTATGGAGTGTCAAACGAAAATCACTAGTGGATATAATGGAAATTGTTGATAGTAACATGAGAATTGTACAGTATTGTCAAATAAGCTTCTCCTAAAATACAAAGTATTTGCATTATATGAATTTTCCTTAATTTAGGGGAGGTGAATAAATGAATAGTTTCAACTTCTTTCAAGAGTGTACTTGAGTAAGGTAGCTAGAATAAAGTGGACACGGGGAATAATTGTGCCATATATTGAGAGCATCCTAGAGATAACATAATATCTGCTAACCTTTCAGTTCAGTTGCATTGTGGTCTTTATTCAGTTTGACCAGCAAGAAAATTTCAGTAGAGCATTTTAATAGGGAGAAAGCTGAATTTTAAATTAGATGACTAGTTTGGAATGAGACCTAGAATTGTTGCTAGGAGTAGAGGATAATAATAATAACAAATATTTATAAAGAACAGCTTACGAAGCATTTTAACGTACCTTAATCATTCTCACAGCAAGCCTATGAGTTAGATATTACTCCTGTTTGCATTTCACAGATAACACTGAGGCTAGAAAAGGTTAAAGTACTAGATGCCCATGGTCACACAGCTGATGAGTGACAGGGCCAGGACTCAAATCTGACTTTCTAATTTGAAGGGCCTGAAATACTAAGCTTTCTTTGTTTATTCGTATCCAATCTCTCCGCCCCTTCTTTTCCATAGAAACAAAATCAGCAATAAATAACTACAAGAACCATCATAATATAAGCACTTAGGGCAGTTTCCTTTTCTTGAAACTTACAACAAAAAGTTTACATTTCATCAATGATCACTGAGTTTTGGTACTCAGAACAGTACCATGTAATCAGAGCTCCAGCCTTCTTTTTTCTGTTACTTCTAAAAGTAGTGGCTTTGGGCCGGCTGCAGTGGCTCATGCCTGTAATCCCAGCCCTTTGGGAGGCTGAGGCGGGTGGATCACCTGAGGTCAGGAGTTCAAGACCACCCTGGCCAACATAGTGAAACTCCGTCTCTACTAAAAATACAAAAATTAGCTGGGGATGGTGGTGGTCACCTGTAATCCCAGCTACTCTGGAGGCTGAGGCAAGAGAATCGCTTGAACTCAGCAAGTGGAGGTTGCAGTGAGCCGAGATCGAGCCATTGCACTCCAGCCTGGGTGACAGGGCAAGACTCTGTCTCCAAAAAAAAAAAAAAAAAAAAAAAAAGAAGAAAAGAAAGACGTTTTGGCTACATGGTATGTCCATTTTTTTGATTGCATATGATGTTTTGTGCAAGTTGGTGGAGAGGGTAAAATTTGAGTAAACAAATATACAGTGGAGATTTTAACCTAATTAGAAAAAGGTATGAAAGTCAGAAGTGTTCCAGTAATTGACTAGGCTTTAGGACAGGGATACTGCACAAAATCCTTGGGCCCTAAAGTTGGAGAAGATGGAAGGAGGAGAGGAAACAGAATAGTGCTTCAAAAAGTAAACTTGAATATTAGACAGCCAGTCATCTACTCTGGAATCTATCAGGGGCTTGTTTAGTATGAAACTCAGATATAATTTTTTTTTCTTTTCTTTTTTGAGACAGGGTCTTGCTGCGTACGTTGCCCAGGTTGGAATGCAGTGGCGTGATCATGGCTCACTGTAGCCTTGACGTCCTAGGCTCAAGTGATCCTCCTGCCTCCGCCTACCAAGTAGCTAGGACCACAGGCGAAGCTGCCACGCCCGGATAATTAAAAAATAAAAATTTATAGAAACAGGGTTTTCTATGTTCTCCAGGCTGGTCTCGAACTCCTGGCCTCAAGCAATCCTACTGCCTAAGACCCCCAAAGTGCTGGGATTATAGGCAGGAGGTACCATGTCCATGCAGTTACAAACATAGTGTTTGCCCCAAAACTTTCATTGGATGTATGCAACTTTCTCTTCCTCTATTCCTACTTTTGCAATGGTGTACTCTGTAACAATAACATTTCCTCAGAGGTCCAAGATAGCCTCCTTTGCTGTGATTCTTACACAATTGTAAAAAAATTATTTGCTCCTGACATTTATGTGTAATACTGGGATTTATAAGATGACAAGGGTGAAAATAATATTTGTCGTATGCTTACCCTGTCAGGCTATTCACATTCAGCAGCTCTTGTAATCCTAGGTACACTCCTTGAGTGTCCCCATTTTACAGTTCAGGGTAACTGAGGCTAGTTATATCAAGCACTTTAGTTAGCGAGATAAGACATGCACCTACGTAAATATAACATGAAACAAGATAAATGGTTACAGTGTCAAAGCCACCGTTAGGTGGTAAGGGTGACCCTGTGAAGCAAAAACTAGCAGTTGCAGGACCACAGGCACACTTTACCACGTGCCTGCTTCTACAGATGAACTTTTCGGCGTGGCCACCCTAGGAATGAGACCTTGGGGGTGCGAATCCATGAAAGATGCCTGTGTATGTTGGATACCCGCGGGACTGTCCTCGTGGAATGCCGCATCCACGAGCCCTAGGTGCTCTCCATTTGAGGAAGTTGGCTGGGGGAGGGGGCTTGCCTTGCGGCTGCGTCCTGCTCCCCGCGCCCTGCCCCCACCTCCCAGCCTCTGCTGCCGCTAAACCCCGGAGAGCGGAGCGTGCACGTTGAGATTCCTCGGCGGGCTAGGCAGCGGTGCTGGGCATGCTCAGTGGGCAGGACCCGTTAGAGTGGCGAGTAAGGAAGCGTTGGCTCTTCTCGGGTCTGCCTTCCCCGGTTCAGGCCCCGGCCCTGGGCTTTTGTGTGCGCGTAGCTGCAGCCGCCGTTGCCTCCTCGCGGGGCTGCCCGACCCCAGATGCCGT